TAAACGAGGGTCTTGTTTTAGTGGGCGGCCCCCCGCCTGCCATAAAGGAGGCCCCTATCATGTTCCCTGTACCCAGCTAAATTCCCCTTCTCTAGCAGCTGGGATGGTGGTTGTCATAGGACCTGCTACAATGAGCTCTCTGGCATATGAGGTTTCTTGCTGCATGAATCCTCCAGTGGAAAAAACCAAGAAAATCTCACACATCCAATAATGATTCTGCAGCTTTAGTTCATAATCCTGATGATGCACAAGCCAGGACAAATTCCAGATCCTTTTTCCATAGCTTTGTTGATGCTGAAGGCACAAGAGGAGTAAAAACTAGTGAAATGTTTTTATCACTTCAGTGATGCACAAAATGTTATATAGGAAAATAACATTTTTACATAGTTGCTTTTGTGACCCTCCCCCCGCCACATTTTTTAAATTAAAAAAGCCAAATCCAAGGCTGAGCAAAGACTTTAAAAGTTTCCACTACTTTTAATAGCTGTAAAATAGTCTATTGAAGCTCATTTTAAATAGCATTTTGTACTATTATTCATCTTACTAACAGAAACAAAGTACTTCGGATTGTATACACTCCACCACTCTTGTTTTCCTTTCAAGTGGAGAGAGCCCTGGTTTAGTTCCAGTGCTCTTTCACCAGCTGTTTCTATTTTCCTCTACTGCCTTCTGTTCACAATCTTCCCACTGAAACTCTGCCATGGTAAATGAGTTTCCCACTTTAAAAAAAAAAGTTTGGCATTTCTGATGCTAAGAGGATCCTTTTTACAAATTATCACATGGGAACTACCCCACTCTATTTTCTCTAACTGTACAGCCAGCAAGTCTACAACTCCCTAGCATTTCCGCTAATGTGCAAAACATTCAATGCTAGCATACCAGGTTGGGGAAATCCTGAACTAAGTAAAAATAGTGTGACTTTGAAATGTCTCTCTTACTGCATGCTCACTACAGGGATAAAAACAAATGCCCAGTATACCTGTCATGATAGCTTATTGAAAAAAAATTAGGAAGGAAAATATAATGAAGAAGTTTGTCCTATTAACATCTCAAAGCATATAGAAACTGTATAAGTCTGGCTCTTTTTTGGGTCTCCCATACAGCAATTTTATTGTTTGGACATTGTGGGCCAGATCTTTCTTCAGCTTGTATAAATATGCAGATTTACATCAGCTGAGGATCTGACTGTGTACTGCTTAAAAATATTTCCTACAGAGGCTGTGCAAGAAAATGGAATAGGGGAGAGCTGAAGTTTATAATCTGAGCAAATTGGACTATGCCAAATTCATGTAATTGTTTCAGCTATCTACGTTGTTGAGGGTAATAGTGGCAGCAGTGTTTAATTAATGGACAGACTAGCATTACCAACCTCATACCAACAGAAAAAGAGTGATCACAGAGGATAAACCTGATGTTAAAGGCACTTGGAGATTCACTTGACCGTTAGTCTGTTGCTGGCAGTGAACATTCAAGTATCCACCAACATGATTCATTGTTCTCTAGATGAATAGTACATTAATTGCATCATTTTGCATTGCCTCTTTCTAATTTTAATGACATTGGTTTGAAAGGATAAGAGGGTCATCACCTTCCAGCTGTGGTTCCAGTCCATTGAACATTACCAGCACACCACCCCCTGATACGTCTTCTCCAGGAGGCAAAAAGGTGAGAAGTTTTTAAAATTAGAATCAGTAGTAGTAATTGAATTCTTTGTCACATGTTTCATAAATCTGACTATCTGATCCCTTGGCTGCCCAAGTCTGGGGTAGCAGAACCTAGCATACTTAAGTTTTTGAGTATTTATACATAATGAAACCGCTTCAACAGGATAGATGAAGAGAGACCCATCCCAGAATGCCCATATTGGTTTGAGCATTTACCTGCTATATGGGAGACTCAGGTTCAAATTTCTATTCCAAGTTAGGCAAAGTGGAGACTTGAATCTAGATCTCCCACATCCCAGGTGAGTGCTCTAACCACAGGGCTGAAGGGCACAATCTCCATTTGTGATTTTGGGAATAACATTTCCAAATTTCCTTTTTTTACACAACAAAAAGTGTTTAAAAATGCCCAAAATCAAAATGAAATGTTTTGTTTAACCCAATGCCTGCTTTTGTTTGTTTCATGAGAAAACCAAAGCATTTTAGTTTAGGATTGATCAGAAATGAAGAAGGTTGGTTGGTTTGTTCAGTGACCCCTACATTGCTATGATACATATCAGCTTTAGCCCTAAAATTAGACCTCCTACTGTGAGCACAGTGCATTAGTCTAGAATAGGGCTGTCAATTAATTGCAGTTAACGCATGCAATTAACGCAAAACAAATTAACACGTTATTTTTTTAACAAGAGTTAATCGCATACCTCTGAAGACAGGACTCGGCGGCAGCCGAGCAGGGAGGGAGGGAAGCACCAGCTGCGGCAGCAAGCAGGAGGTGGCCAGGAACAAGAGACTGCAGGTGATTTGGGAGACCTGGTCAAACACCTTCCAGTGGGGAGAGAGGAGCCCGGCCCCGTCGCCGGCTGCCCCATCCCCTCCCTGTTGGACAGGGCCTGCCTTAGGGATGGGCAAGAGGGGCCACTGGCCAGGACACCATGCTCAAGGGGGCGCCACTGCATGCCTCCAGGGCACGGGTGCCCTGCCTCCCACCGCCCTGCTCCACTGCTGTTCCTGCCTCCCCCCACCACCATGGAGCTGCCCCAGCCAAGCTGCTCTGAACTGGGAGACTGCCTCCTGTCTGTTGTGCAGGTCTTCCCTTGCCCATGTACCTGATGGCGGCTGAGCTGGGGTCAGGGAACACGGGGGAGCCTATCTGCTGCTGGCTCAGGAGTGAGTGCTACCAACAGCAGCTGCTGCTGGCTGAAAAAGTGTTCAGGTTCCTGAGTGCTCTGCTTAAAGAGGCAGCGCGCGCACACACACACACACACACACACGTAATAAAAAAAATAATATGAAGTGAGCCCTGTACATTTTGTATTCTGTGCTGTAATTGAAATCAATAGATTTGAAAATGTAGAAAACATCCAAAAATATTTAAATAAATGGTATTCTATTATTAACAGTGCGATTAAAACTGATTAATCGGGACTATTTTTTTTAAATTTCACGATCAATCGCGATTAATTTTTTTAATCATTTGACAGCCCTAGTCTAGAACAGTGTGACCTATATTGGGACTGGAGTGGAGCGGGGACAGATTTGGAGCGATAAAAGCAGTTCCAAGAAGTTCAGTACATACAGATAAAGGCTACTGAGCAGCACCTCTTACAGCAAGCACATTACATCCGTCCTCCAAGAGCTGCATGAGCATTCCTTTAGTCCTCTAGTTCAGGGGTCAAACACACGGAATTATTTGCTGCGGCTCGCCAAGCTTCCCACGCCCTCCCCCCCGGAGTTATTTCCTGCTGGTGCCAACCTCCCCTCATCCCCACCCCCTCCCCAGCACGCCGCGTCCCCGCTCCTCTGCCTACCTCCAGGCACTGCTGTTTGGCGGCGCTTAACGCTTTCCAGGAGGGAGGAGGCAGAGAAGAGGCGGTGCGAAGGGCGGGGAGTTTGGGGAAGGGGTTGGGATGGGGAAGGGGTGGGAAGAGGCGGGGCAAGGGCGGCACCTCATGGAAGGGTGGAGTGGGGGCGGAGGCAGTGGGAGGTGGGATTTGTACCTTTATATGAAAAGGTGTTAGTGATGCGGCCCTCAAGCCAATGTACTAGTCCTCATGTGGCCCTCGTGGTGATGTGAGTTTGAGATCCCTGCTCTAGCTCCTCTTCTCATGGAGAAATTCTTCTAGAGTGGCTTGTTTCAGAGCTGCAGCAAGAGAGGATTAGACTAAATTTGGGATGATCTGTCACATGGGGGCCTAAAGTTACATGTTTACTAAAAATTGGAGAAGCAGTAGTACGTGCTTAGTACTATGTCTCAAACTTCTATTTCTGATTTTAAATGGGATGTTTTAATGTATTTCTCCCTTCATTGATTCTTTATTTAAACTATAAATGCATTTACAATACCTTAGGCTTCAGATCGGTGTTTGCTTAATCTCACTTACGGGCTAGATTTTTCAGTGGGCTCTGTGCACCTGTGCCTTGAAAATCTCTGGAGAGATGCTCTAGAACCCTTTGTATGCAAGAATTCTATGGCCATGCAATCCCCCTTCTCCTTGTGACAGAGCTGTGTTCCAGTATCTAAACTTTTCATTTTATTAAATTATTTCATAAGAACATAAGAATGGCCATACTGGGTCAGACCAATGGTTCATCTAGGCCAGTATCCTGTCTTCCGACAGTGGCCCATTCCACATGTTTCAGAGGGAAATAAATGAAATGGCAATTTATCGAGTGATCTATCCTGTTTTCTAGTTCCAGCTTTTGGTAGTCAGAGGTTTAGGGACACCAACAGCATAGGGCTGGGTCCCTGATCATCTTGACTAATAGCCATTGATGGACCCTATCCTCCATGAACTTATCTAATTATATTTTGAAACCAGTTGTAGTTTTGGCCTTCTCAACATCCCCTGACAAGAAGTTACACAGGTTAACTGTGTGCTGTGGGAAGAAGTACTTCCTAATGTTTGTGTTAAACCTGCTGCCTATTCATTTCATTGGGTGACCTCTGGTTCTTGTATTATGCAAAGGGGTAAATAACACTTCCTTATTCACTTTCTCCAGATTATTCACAATTTTATAGACCTCTATGATGTCCCCCCCCCCCTAGTCATTTGTTTTCTAAACTAAACAGTCCCAGTCTTTTTAATCTCTCCTCATATGGAAGTTGTTCCATCCCCCTTATCATTTTTGTTGCCCTTCTCTGTACTTTTTTCAATTCTAATATATATATTTTTGAGATGGGGTGACCAGAAGTGCACGTAGCATTCAAAGTGTGGGCGTACCATGGATTTATATAGTGGCATTATTTCTAACCCTCCTACTTCCAAAACTAACTTTGAAAATGTGAGCAGGATGTAAACTGCCGTAGGATTTTCTTAAGGCCTGGCCTACACAAAAAAGTTAGATTAACCCAGCTACATTGTGCAGGGGTGTGAAATGTAGTTAAGCTGACATAACCACCAATGTAGGTAGCGTTAGGTCAGTGGAAGAATTCTTCCGTCAATCTAGCTACTGCCTCTTGGGGAGGTGGATTACCTATACTGACAGGAGAACCCTTCCTATCGGCATCAGTAGTGTCTACACTGAAACAGTACGGCTGCAGTGCTTCCAGTGTAGACAAGCCTTATATTCTGCAGAAAGTCTAAAACAATATCCCCCAGAGGTGTGAACTTCCTATTAAGCTGAACGGGGCATTAACTCAAATCTAAGAGTGTCAACACCATTTATCATTTTAGATGATACATCCAACAGATGTTCTTATTGCACCATCTCAAAATGCTTAACATACCTCCACGGCTGACAAAACCCCAACAGGGCCAGATCCAATTTTCCCACAGACTGTTCTGGGGCAATTATACATTGTCAGTACAAAAATGTTTTCAGTATGTCACTACAAATAGTGTGAACTTAATTTAATATCAACAATGAAACTACTGTGCTGATATTTTCATAATTAATGAAAAACCTCCATATTGAAATCAAACTGCTGCAGAATTTAGGCTCATTTTGCTTCTGATTACCTGGGGCCTTCTTTGTAGGAGAAGGTGGGAAGCTGTGGAAAATGCTGTTGGTGAAACCACTTGACATTTAATCAGAGATTATAGAGCTGCAAGCAACCATTAGCTTCCATCTCCCAGAGCAGCTACTGGGGAAAAAGTAAGGAAGTCGGCCATTATTCAGAATGGATGTAGCTGCAGGAAGGAAAGCAATTATTAATTATTTGTATGTCTGTAGCACATAGGAGCCCCAGTCACTGATCAGGGCACCATTGTGTTAGGTGCCATATAAATACAGAACTAAAAGATTGTAAGCTCCTTGGGGCAGGGACCATCTAAGTCTGATACGTGCATGCGGTGTTCCCTTATTCTGTTAATCCTTCAAATGTCTTTTAATCCTATTGGGAAGAGGAGAGGAATTCAAGATATTCTGTGGCCAGGGCCCCAAGAATTTTTAATTTAGTCCTGCCTGGTAATACAGTGTATTTTATCAAGAGCTATATGCTATGTCCTAAGACTGATTCTGCCTCTTTACCACTGGATTTACATATTTATAATATTAGAGTAATGTGATATTCAGATTCTTCCATGTGCATTGGTGTGTTAGTGTGCTAGAGTAAATCTGGATTCTGAGATCTACACAAGAATATTGATAAGTTTTCCCATGAT